TTCATGGCAACATATGATGTTATATAAATTATATAATTTTTATTGGAATACGTTGGATTAAATTAATTTATTGCCTTACATATATATAGACATAATATAATATATCTATATATATATATATATATCGTTACATATATAACATTAGAGATGGGGTAACTCACTCAGTGGAGTTATTTCACTTGATTTGTCATATCCGACTTTCCTAAACTGGTATTAAATCTGTTAATTCGTGCAGACATTTACTGTTTTTAGCGTTTTTGCTTTGGAAAGAAGTGGTCGCTTCCTCGTCTGACAGGCAGTTTTATGACCTTTGGTATAAAAATCAAAATACCATTGTGTATTTTCCAGAAAATACAAAAATATTACTTCAAAGATACAGAACAATGAAATTGTGTTCAAGAGTGAATAGCTCAAATGTTTAATTTATTGAATAGTAAGGGTTTATATTTCTAACTACGACAATCTTTGGCCCTGAATGACGACGATCGGGAATATACATACCGAAAATTATACGAAACGAAATATGTACATTTAATCTGGTTTTACCATAGCCTGAAATAACAACACTTTAGAGTGCAAAATTTATCAGTGATATCAATAGTATTTAAGCAGCAAAAAATATTTAGTATTATATTATTACTTTTACACAATTATATAATTGTGTAAAAGTAATAATATGCTAATCGAACTACCCGATATAATATTAATTCTCGAGTGGCAACAGCAGAAGAAAAATTTAGAAAGCAGAAGTATTATGTTTTGCTTTTATTACAAAGTTTACTACTTAATTTTTATATAAAATTAATCAAAAAAAATATTTTCTCATCAAAAGGAAATAATTAAATTGAATTTGATCTCAAGTTTTGCGTTTTTACTTTGGTCAACACTGCTAAAATTATGAGTCATTGAGTCGATCATCTGGTCGACCGAAAAGTTTTACCACCCGTCATTTATTTGTGAAATTTTAGAAAAATTATTTTATTGATATTTATTCATAAATTTTCTTTCGCCTGATGCCTAGTGGACTTTTTATAGCAAAAAATTACCAGCTAATTGTTACTAGGACTCCGTCTTCGACATCAGTTGCCTTCTCGACGATAGCAATCGTTTTTTTTCAATATTTTGCAAGTTACCAAGCAATCTAACAATAAACTTTTGTGTTAATGTGTATATCTATGAACAACAAAATCAGTGACTGCAAGTGATTAGAGAAATGGCAATAAGACGTAAAACCAGTACTATCTGGAATCATTTTTCCTTAAAGATAATAAAGCAAAATGCAATTATTGTGCGAATTTTTTAAGTATTTTATTTTCAAATACTGGAAATTTAATAAAGCATTTGAACTATACCGATTTATCCGGCAATGCGTCGCGAACTGTATTATTGGATAATATTTTTGCGTTAAAACTTCAGAAGCTGGTACATAAGATTCAAATCCATCTAATACAATGAAAAATAATTCTAATGTTACCAGAAATTATTTGCAAAATACTAATCCTTTATTCCTGAAATAGATGCACAATTGATCAAGATGATTGCAAAAGGATATCATTCAATGCAAATCATTAAAGGGATTGAATTTAGAATGCTATTGAAGTTGTTAAATCCAAGATATAATGTACCGAAATGCTTAAAATCCTGACTTTTTATAATTTGAATATAGAGAATTTCAAATAATTAATAGGATTTGACAAATCCTTAGATACATAAACAACGGCTATAGAACACATTTGTGTCGAGTATTTCGGTTTAAAAGTTGTCGGAGTCGTGGAGTTGTTAAGCGGATATAACACCATATATATAATATATATATATATATATATATATATATATATATTTGAGTGAATTGTGTTTTATCAATTTGGAACCATTTGAGCCCTTGGGATTAAGGAAATTCGAAATTAAGGACTACGCTAATATATATGTAATTAAAAAATGTATATCTGAGTGCTTTATGAAAAAAACTGGTGTTATATTGAAAGGTATCTCAATATTTCATTTTTTGTCCAACATTATATACTTTTATGATCAGTATAAATAAGACTCATTATAAATTATTATAATTAAGTACCTATAATATATTATTTATTAAAAATTTGCAATATGATTTTGCTCATAAATTGACGCTTATCAATTATTATCTACAAAATATGAATATTTTATTAGTCCATATATTATTCCTATTTAATAAATTTTTCGAATTATCACCTCATCTCACGAATCGATTTACGCCTTTGGGTGTTGTGAAATTTGGGTGTGGGTATTTTGTTTGTATTTATTCGCATCCATCAAAACATCACAATAGCCACTCAAAATTACTTCTTGTTATGAAAACAAAAATAAAACAAGGTAGAGGTTCGCGTGACGTTATTGTTCTGGCCATGACCCAAGTTTCAAGGATCCACTAAATATATACAACAATTCCAATATATACAACCCGGGGCATGCATTGTATATATATATATATATATATATATATATATATATTACTTATATATACATGAGTTATTGTAAATATTATTCAAATGTAAATGTACATATCATGCATGTAACGTATATATTTTGAAAAATTTCAAACATATTGAAAGTTATGCTCTAACGAAAGACAAAACTTTTAAAACACAATATCACATAGACTTATTCATTTTAATTTTCCATATTCATAAATAATGGAAAATATAGTGCAGGAGCTATAGATTAAGATAAGCTTTTTATATTTTTATCAGTTTTACTTCAATACTATAAAGAATTTAAAAAATAGAAAAATTAATGTAATAATCCCTGTAGTAATCTGTTGATAATCTTTTACACATTAAACAAGTTCGCTGTAAATACATTTTTAAAGAAAATCCTCTAAATATAGAAAATATAAATAACAAATCAAAACGTTAAATTCAATCAAATCAAAATTTAAATAACAAATGATAACGTTAAATCAAATTAAAACGTTAGCATTTCAAATTTACTATTTATAGACACATGTACGGGTTATAAGTTATAACTACACTATTCAAATTCTATATTATAATTATTTAATATATTAGCAGTGCATTTTTAATAAGATTATTAAAGTTGTAGGTGCAATTAGATTTACGACTTACTACGCTACTAAATAAATAATGCAATTAATTATACTCTATCAACCCGATGGCCTTTGAGATTTTATTACCTCTGCGTTTTAATTATAAACTTTGACCTTAATAAAAATTGTGATAAATTAAGAATATTTCTCATTAAGCACCTAACTATGGCGCAAATCTAATAAGAATATGGATTTAATAAATATTCATCTTCAGAGTATTTTTATATTAAGAATCTATATTTTCAAAAAATATTATGAGAATTTATATTGTTACTTTTGTGAAAATCTTATTAAGTATGAATACAAACGTAATGCTTGGCTTGAAATTTATTCATCTTTTGGAATTATTGGAAGGCCCTACGACGTAAACTTAACTTTTAAAAATACATTATGGTAGGTATGAATAGAAACAAATGCAGGTGTTGGATATTAATTAATATATATATATATATATATATATATATATATATACGATGTGTGTGTGTGTATCGAATGCTCACATTACATGTGTTAGTTACCATGTTTGTTGATGAGGGTTTGATAGCTCACTTATAAACTTGCTAACGAGTACAACTTGCTAGCTGATGGTACTTCATATACTCACATGTATATATATATATATATATATATATATATATCATATCTTAAAAAACAGAGATACACTGCACTCCTTTTCGCCCTATTTTATTAAATTCTTAAAGACACTAATGTTTCGATACTAGGTTTGTTTCATCATCAATCAATGTAACTACTTATTAATAATTTTATATACATAATTTTC